CCGCCAAACGGCGCGCTCGGATCGCGCTGTCCCGCGGTGGACGGGCTTTGTGGCTGTGCGTGCCTGGGGGTGTGTGAGTGAGCGTGTGTGTGTAAGTGTATGTGTGTGTGCGCCTGCTCGCTTGTGTCGGGTGTGGGTGGCTGTGCGTGCTTGCGAGCCGGCCTGCAGGAGGCGAGGCGCTCCTGGCCTCCCTAACCAACCAGTTCACTGAACCCCGGGAGAGAAGTTGCCGCAGCCGCCGGGACCGCCGGCCCGCCTGTCCCCTGGCCAGGTCAGTGCGTCCCCGGGGCCCGCGCTCTGCGCAGTCTGCGGCCCGGACCCGCCCAAGTGACACGTAGGTGGCCTCCGGTTACCTGGATCTGGGGTGGGGGGGGCACGAGAAGGCTTGCGCGGGGCGCTAGAAATTGCCCCAAAGCCGCGTCCAAGTGGACGTAGACCGCCGGGGGTCCCCACGCCCAGCAGCGCGGAGCTCCCGCGCCACTTGCTTCTCACCGACCGACTCAGCAGTCTCTCCCTGGCTGAGGACTTGAAGCTTAAAGTTTCTGTCCAGACGCCTAACAAACACGCTTAGCAAGTAACTGGGAAATCTAAGGCAAGGGAGTGACCTGGCTTTGAATCGGTGGTTTTGAAATCGACGGCCTCATTTGGTTTTTGTAGGACTAGTTTGTTGTGAATGGATTGAAAATTTACTCTTGTTTTTCTTTGCTGCCATTTGGCCTTTGATGTGTAAGAATGACGGCATCCAGGACTTGTGGCTGCCTTCAGTCTGGGGCCTGAGGTTGTGGATCTCTGCTGCTCCTTCTGCTCTTCTTTCTTTCTTTTCCTTTATGTTGAAATCTGTGGATGTTTCATAAATGTGGGTTTCCAGTGAACGCTCGCTTGTTGAAGTTTCACTATGAATGCGTTGTTTCCCATTGGAATAGATACATATTTGCAAACATGAATTTGGAAAACATGTAACTGCAGTTATGAGAGCAAAATCCACTATTCCTTCAGGCCCTAACAGTCCGTGTTTTTCACCTATTTGCATAAGATGTCGTTTGCCCAGCGTAAGCATAACTGGGAAGCCAGAGGTCTGTGATTCACAGCCTGCAAACTGCTAAGTTCTTCTAAGTTCAAAGCTGTTTCTTTGTCAAATACAAGAGTAAGCCCCAAGGAAAAAGGGTGTATACTGGAGTTATGGCTGTTTGGACCAAACTAAATTGCATTAACACACACACACACACACACACACACACACACACACACACACACACACAGAGATATAATGCCATCTAGTTGTTTCTGCCTTTGATTCTCCAGATTTGGGTAGGAGTGAGCATATTTGCCCCAAATGCAAAATTGTAAATAATGATCAGCCTTGTAAGTATGTTAAGGCTGCATTTTTCTTGATACTGTTTAATTTGAGGATAAAGAAGCTAAGTATTAAGAGAAAGAAGTAGTGTGTGGAAGGCACGGGCTGAGGGGCCAGGCGGGAGGACTGGGTTGTCATAATCCGAGCCGGCTCGCCTGCTGCGTCCTCTAGCGGTGCGACCTTAGCCAGTCAGGTCAGCTCATCCATTGTCTTGGCGTCCTCATCTGGAAAATGGAGGGGTTTGATGATCTTTGTTATTCCTCCCAACTCCCCAAATAGCTGCACACTTGTGGGTGGTTATCTCACGTTAGAACAGTAGGAAGGGAGTAAAGGGAAGTATGAACCGGTTCATCTAGGGGGTGAGAAAGGGTAGGAGGGCCAAGAAAGTGAAGAAAACCAGCAGTAGGAGGTTCCTGAAAGGGGAAGAGCTTTGAACTGGGAGTTGATTTTCCTCTATTTTTTCTTTCCTGCTCCACCGGGGCATCAACAATACTTGTTCCCCCTCAGATCAGTCTTCCATTACCCTTATTATTTAAAGTGTGTGAGCTTGCTTGGCCTTAAAATTGTCGTGGAGTCCAGGTGACCCCTGTCGTCTGACCTGACCAACTTCCTGTTGCATCGTTGTCTCTCAGGGTTCAGCAGCTGCCCAGTCCTGTGGGCGCTCAGTGGATCTCAGTGTCCCTGTGAATGATGGGAAACGATAACAGAGGCCGGAATGTAAGTTGCCCTTTCAACGACTTGCGTTTTGAAACTTCCATTTTTCATTTGAAACTAATATTCTCCCAAAAGTAACTTGATTTAAAAAAAAAAAATCATACCATAGACTTTTCAAGGTTTTAATCAATCTATTCTGTTAGACCTACTGGAAAATTCGGAGAAAGTAAAACTCTCACTTGCAATGTCTTTTTGATACGTAATGACATTCAGCCTGAAGTTGGTGAGTTTTAGGGCCAAGAATCTTATTTCAAATGCTTAGTAAGGAAAGTTGCCATCTGGGCAGAATACACTGTGTCATTTTCACTGGGAAGCTGCAAGTGCTCAGCAAATAACAAGATTTAAAATTTCGTTTGAGGTCAGGATTTTAAGGTCTGTGCTTGATGTGTGGCCTGTCTTCCTTTTCTTTAATTTTTTGGTACCCATATGCACACACACTTGAGTAACATGATTTATTTTAAAAGTGAAGTGTGATGTAATAAAACTTGGAACATAAGCTCTTGGTTTAAAGCCTGAAAGTTTGTTCTGGCCTTATTAGCTCAGCATCATACTATCTGGTTTCTTATTTTTACATATCGTGTTACCCCCCAAAATCCCTGTCGTGTTATTATTTAACTGTCTCTTGGAGAACTATTATGGATGTCTTAGAAAGTTGGGAGAAAAGGAGGAAATTTTAATTGGATAAGCAATTACTGAATTCCTTCTGTAGTGGGAGATCCAAGGATGATAAAAAGGAGGCTCTAGAAAGGGCTGCAGCGCAGAGAGAAAAGGTGCAGCTAACTTCAATATATAGCAGCTGGGTTGCATAACCAGGTGGCAGCTGTAGAATCTAAGAACCTTGGCATGCCAGAGGATGGGAAATTAAATTCTGACTCTGGGGAAGACTTCACAAAAAGGATTGAAGGATGAAAATGATGTGTCTCTTAAAAGATGAATGGTGGGGAGTGAAGATACAGTCTGAGTCGGGGGGGAATGAAGGCTGGAAAGATACAAAGAGGTAAATTATGGGGGACCTTGGATGTTACTTTAAGGAGTTGTGCTACATGGGGATGGGAAGGGAAATATTAAATATTATTTAATCCTAAGATGCAGGCAGACATTGAGTAACACATTGGGGCATAGCGAGGGGTGCCATGACTGAGAGATGACTGGGCTTTTATTCCATTCCATTCCATTGTAACTCAGGGCTAGTGAGTTTTAGAGCACTGCTGCCAGCTTATCCAGATTAGATAAAGGTTCTAGAATAAATGAGTACGCAGTTTCTTCCCCCATATTCCTCTCAAATTGATAGTGGTCTTTTGAGAAATCTAATTTAGTAACAATTAGTAATGCTACTGTCTTACATCTGGACGTTGTGAGGCCTTTTGAACATGTGGGTTAAAATCACTCTCCAGGCACAGAGCTGACCAAGAAAGCATTCTGTTTTGTTTTGGGAAGGGCCTGCTAGTTAATGCTAATTTAAACATGACTCCAATGGCAACTGGCATTCTTGACCCTGTTTATGTTATACATAGTATTTAACCACAGTGGTTGACTATTTGTAGCGCAGAAGAGAGAGAATTATTATTAGCTTAGAAGTGGGGCTCACGCCCTTGTAAAGGGAAAGGGGGATGAGAGAGAGGAGGTGGGGAGAGACTAGCCCCTGGGTACTGCAGTGAGGGCTGACACAACCCTGAACATCCTTTGTTAAGTTGGACCTCCGATAGAAGTGGCTTGCTCAATGCTGGAGACTGAGACTTTGTTAAGAACCTTCTTTCTGGTCATCTGCTTTCCCCCCATGAATCTCTAGAGCTAAGGGGTCTAGCGCATTATCTCTCAGATGGAAAGAATCTCTGTGGGATCCATTTGGGAGAGAGATTCAACAGCGATGCAGGTTTCCTCTCACGCCCCAATCTCGCACAGGGGTCACAGGTGGGAGTGATGGCTTGTCAGCTGCATGTCAAAGGTGGAGCTGATTGGGTAAGTCTTCTAATTGCCCTTGAATCTGGAGGTGCTGGGCTACCAAGGAGGTGGATAATGAAAGGAGATTAGGTCAGCTGCTTTTAACTGTCTTCTGAATACAATCGGAATGAATGATCCTTCCAGCAGTGGGTTTTATCTTCTGCAAGGGAACTTGGGTTTGGACTGTTTAATCAGTTAATTAGGATTGTTAAGTTAAGGAGTCCGAGGTTAGTATCCTTTATTTCTTACAAGGATACATGTTTTTTTGGAGGGAAGGGAGGAGTGGTGATGGTGGTGATTTTATTTAAATTCACTGGCATTTCCCCCCCCAGCAGGTTAATATGATTTCAAAGCAGTGTTGTTGTTGTTATTGACTTATGGGGAGGGGGCAAAGAAAATTGTCTTAATACATCTGATCAGTGTTATAGAAACTTTAAACTTGAAGTTCATGTAAAATTCAAATTTCTTTCAGGAAGGCAAGAGGATTGTTTTACTGCATGCATGGATTTAGGTTATAATTTATTTTTGTGTTGCTGTTTTAAAAAGGTGATACAATGACAGGGCAGACTCTTTAGTCCAGTGCTAAAACAAACATGGATAAGCCCGAAGGAGGTAGATCAGCCTGTGTTTGTGGTATTTCATATGGAGATAAGGGAAAATGATCTCAAAACCAGCCTCTTTCTCTAAAAGAGAAAAAGAAAGTTTCACTAATAATACCTGGTCATGGGGGGCCAGCCCGGTGGCATAGTGGTTAAGTTCATGTGCTCCACTTTGGTGGCCTGGGTTTCACCTATTTGGATCCTGGGCATGGACCTACACACTGCTCATCAAGCCATGCTGTGGCAGCGTTCCACATAGATAAACTAGGAGGACTTACAAGTAGGATATACAAGTATGTATTGGGGCTTTGGGGAGAAAAAAAAGAGAAAGATTGGTAACAGATGTTAGCTCAAGGCCAATCTTCATCACCAAAAAAAAAAAAAAGAAAGAAAGAAAGAAAGAAAAGGGTACTTTAAGGAAAAAAAACCACAAAAAACCTGGTCATGGATCTCTTCCGGGAGGGATTTCCAAAGTTGAAACTGTTAAAGGAACTTTTGTTCCTTATGGCCATCATGTGTGCCTATGCTTCTTAGGGTTTAGGATTCATTATAAAGAGAGTGCTACTGCAAGCCGTTCCTTTTTAGCAAGTTTCCCTTTATCTATTTTCTTAACTTTCAGAACAATGGGCTGGATTTGATTTCCCGTAAATTTGCTATACTCAATTTTTTTTCTCTCTGTTTAAGTAGTTCCCCTTAACCAACCCCTAAGCTGCCTTCAGTCTGAAATTTTCCCCTAGCAGAAGGATATTCCTGGCTCTTTGGGAGAGAGATGATTCAGGGGCAGAGGAAACAAGTTCCATTCCACTGTAGCAGCACTTAATTGACTGCCTGCAGAATACCAAGCATTGTGCTGGGCACTGGGCACAGGGAGGGGCAGAGAAGAAGGCAAGATTCTTACCCTCCAGGAGGAGCATAAGGCATATTAACAGCTGATTGTAATTCGGTGTCGCAAGTGTGATGAGCGAGATAAGCACGTGGCACTATGGGGAGCACTAAGCGGGAGCCTCTGAGGGTCAGGGAAGGCTTCCGGAAGATTAGGATCTGGAAGGCCCCTAGGAGGTAAACCAAGAAACCTAGAAGAGAAGAAAGGGATCAAGATAGAGGGACTCAAGAGGCTTTCTCTTTCCAGTTTTGCAATTTCTGGGTAAGTCAAAGTTCCTCTCTTTTTACATCTGTAAAGTAGGAATAAGAACTGATATCATCTGGTTACTAATTCTAGTTTTCATTTACTTGTTCCTTAACTTAATCTTCTATTTGTTCATAAAGTCATTCCATATTCAATAGATACTTGTTGCGCACCTATCATGTACGGGGGACAGTAGAAAATGAGATGTCAGGTCCCTTCTCTCAGGGACCTTTCATTCTATCACACTGTGTTAATAATGGAAGCTCTTTTGAAATGCCTTCAAATATGGAGGATGATCTGATGAGTTATTCTTCAAATTTAGGAATATTTTGTTCAAACTAGTCTGTGTTTTCAGTTCAGTTAGCTTTTCCCTCTTAACCAAGAGGAGAAGGGGGCAGAGTGTGGTAGTCTCATCTTGATTTTAGAAACTTGAAATGCTTTGCTCGGATTTACCTGTTGTCAGGTCTAGAGACAGATGTAGCTGTGTGTTATCTGTAACTCTGACATGCTCCCATTTCATTTTGGATAGTCCTAATTCTGACCCAACTTGGGTTTGAGTTTCTGTATTCAGTTTATGACTTGCTTTGTAGAATAGTGCACATCTAGCATTCATGGGAAGTCAGACCTATTTTGAAGTCAGGCTGTCAGGATACTCTCCTTTGTTAATGCGTCTTACTTGTTTCAGTCAGTCAGGGATATGAACACAGTAGAAAGTGTTTCAACCAGAAGTAGACAGCTGCATTCATTTATAACAATATATGGCTTTTGTAATGATTCAAACAATATAGATGTGTCTGAAGTAAATGTAATAATCTCCCTCTGCCACTCCAACTGCACCCAGCTGATGTAACCCCTTTGTCATCAGTTACATAGCCTTCCATTCTCGCCCTTTTGCTTATACAAACCTACAACGTTTGTTTATATATATTTAGATGTGTGTGGGTATGTTTGTGTATACCCATATATGTACGTGTTTGTCTCTGCACGTGTCTATCTGTGTGCACATGCATTCACTCCTGCCTCCATTCACTTCGGTATTAGAGAGGCTGTTATTGAGGCAGCCACCCTGGGGCAGAAATTTCAAGTCCGAGGAGTCTGTGTAGCTCTTCTTGAATCGGTGCAGCATGATATTACTCAATTCAGAGTTCTTGCCAGAGCGATACGAATGTCTGGCTGTTATGAACGGGGGACAAGAAAACTGTTTCCAGCTGCGTGACAACCAAGAGAACACATATCACTGCGAAGAGGGTTATTTCCGCGAGAACTCTGCTTCATGTGGGTCTCGGGCAAGCGGAGGAGGGGCGTTTTGGAGCACGTGCTTGGCATCTGGGACCCTTTTGTTAGGTGGAAAACAAGGCATCTGTGGAAGGCCTATCAAGCACTTCTGGAGCCAAGAAGATAGGTGGAGTTACTCATTATAGGCAGTGTCATTGTGGGGGTATTAAACGAGGACCCCCTTCGAAGTCGGTAATCAGCAGATGATAAGGATAGAGTGTTCTTGCTAAGGGAGTAACACAGCTGAAACAGAATTGCCTTTTGCTAAGGGGCTGCTTTGCCATCTTGGACTATGATTTGTTGGGCGAGGGATTATTGTCCTGTCAAGAAAATGAGGCATTCATTCTGTACCCAGTATTTATTGTAGCTCCATGGAGAACTGCTTGCTTTACTTTCTGAGTAGACACAGAGACCTAAAGGTTCAAGGGCTAGGGCAGGATGGCTGACTTTTCCAAATTCAGAATCTGTTCTCGAGTCACCTTATCTGAGACCTTGTCCATTCAGTTTCATGCTGCTGAGATCTTTGAGCACTTCTGTGGTCAAGTCCCTGTGCTTGGCTGAGGACACTAAAAAAAAAAAAAAAAAAAAAAACACCAAGAAAGTATGATTCCTACTCTTAAGTAGCTCGTAAACAGAGAGAGCCATGGATACAATGCCTAAGGTCAGGCATGACCTTTCATTTCATGATAAGCAGTTCATGTTGTTCTGTTTTGTTCTATGGGTAGGATTTCAGCAATAAATATTATAAACCGAGGTTTAAACACAGTGCCATCTGAATATTTGAGGATGGAGAGAGGAACTCTGCCTTGGAGTAGAGGAAGGATTTGCAGAGGATTCTGGCCTCAATGGACACGTTGGCTGAGAAACTCATTTTACACAGAAGAGTAATAATTAAGGCAGGCCCAGGCATTGCATGTGAGTGACAGGTCACCATTTGTGGCCGGGTGGTGGTATGCTTTGAGTCAATCTTGAAGGGCCAACCAAAGGGTGTTGGAAACTGTTGGGGACCAAAAAAGAGCACGTTGTTGCCATTAACAGAGAGAAGGGACGTGAGAGTATGAGGATTGTTCCAGCGAGGCGTGTAGGTTTTAGACACGTCTAAAACCAAGTAGGCAGAGATTTTCAGCTGGTAGTTGGAAATTTGAGTTAGAAGCTTAGCTGAGCAGTCAGAGCTTGGCAGTATACAGGAATAATTGTTATGTCCAAGTAAATACCAGTGAAATTTGTGTGATAAGCTGGAGAGATCTTTGGAGGGAGAAGAGTGATATATACTTGGGGTTTTAAAAAAATTATTTACCCCTGGGTTTATTAAGGTATAATTGACAAATAAAATTGTAAGATATTTAAAGTGTACAACGTGATGATTTGCTATACGTACGTATACCCCCACATCGATATGCCAGGTATTTTAACAGGACAACAAGGTGTTTGATTCTTTAAGTTATTTTTCCTTCTAGCAGGTAACTAAAGTGGTTTGTAGGTTATCAGACATTCCCTATGCATCCACTACGGCTTCTCTTGGTAAGGCAGTTCTGGCATGATACAAAGGAGATGGAGTTTCTGCTTGGTGTTCCTTTGGGGTGAATAAAAGCCCCTGAAACAATACATTCCGTCAAGGGAAAAAAAAATATCTTAAAATAATTGGAAGACTGGTGGTGATTTGGGGGCTCAGAGGAATAGCAAACATAGTTTTAATTTACTGAGGGACTAACAGCAGTGAGTGTCACATACTGTCATTACTACAATAAAAGGCTGAAAAACTACTCAGAAAAACTTTGGAGACCCCAGTAGCCTAAAGACCACACTTTGACAAACTCCAACGGGTTCGTCATGGGAGCTGATAAAATCTGGTCAAGCAAATTTAAACTTTAATTGCCTGATTAAGGTAGAAGGAGGATACAGTGGAACTTTGCTCTTTACCTAATTAAAAAAACTTTTTCCAATTAAAAGTGTATTTCCATATTTTTTTTAGTTTAAATAAATTGAATAAACAGGAGGGGTAGCAGTGCCAAGCGTAGGAGGCATCTGCTCATGCAGTTTACTGTCTCTCCGGGGTCTGCTTCGGCTCATGCCCATGTATGTTATTCCCAGCTGCTGATGGAGCAGAGTAGTTAATTGGATAGCACACATTTCATGATAAGCAGTTCATGTTGTCCTGTTTTGTTCTATTGGTAGGATTTCAGTTCCCACAATGGCCCAGGGTCAAATCAAGAGTTGTTTCTTTAAAGAAAAAAATGTTATTTTGCCAAAAAGGGAAGAATTTTGCTCTAAACTCTGAACTTCTGAGGGGTACCCTAGACCATTAGTATAAAGAAACATTGTATTTACATCTCTAATAAAGTATATTAGAAGATTACATTATGCAAGCAAAGGCAACCATGGAGAATTAAATCAATGGGGATATCAATAGAAAAATATCATAATAGGGGCTGCCCTGTGGCCCGGTGGTTAGGCTCATGTGCTCTGCTTTGGCGGCTTGGGGTGCGCAGTTTGGATCCTGGGTGCAGACCTGCACATGGCTTGTCAAGCCATGCTGTGATGGCATCCCACATAGAAGAACTAAAATGACTTGCAGCTGGGATATACAACTATGTACTGGGGCTTTGGGGAGAAAAAACAGAGGAAGATTGGTAACCGATGTTACCTCAGGGCCAATCTTCCTCACCAAAAAGCCAAAAAAAAAGAAAACAGAGTAGAAATTAAGATAATGCAATTATAATTCAAGAAAAGATAGACTACTCATATGAAGCTAATGTAACAAGAAAGAACAATTGAAAAATAAAGACAAATCCATACATTATAAGAAATAATTAATCACGTTGGATTATCCCAGTTGGGTTGTGCTTGGTTAAAAGCAATAGCAAAACCTATTAACATAGCAACATTTGATTTTTTACTTAACAAAGTCTTAAGGTAGTTGGTCCCAGGGTTGGTTTAGTGGCTCAGCAAGATCTTAAAAATCTAGTTTCTTTCCGTCCTTTAACTCTGCCTTCCTCAGGGTCTTGGATTTCCTCCTCAGGCTCCTCCCCTCACGAACAGCTGCTGCAGCTCTAGATAGCCCATATTTTTTTGACGCTTTCCGAAGTAGGAAGGTAGAGAAAGGGGCGAAATAGGCCTTCTCTCTTTTTTATTAGAGCTAAAATCTTTCCCAGAAATCTTCAACATATTTCTTATATCTCAGAGGTCAGAATAGATCACAGACCTGCCTCTGAAACGCTCACAGGCAAAGGAGAAATATTACATCATTGACTCAGACTCCTTCATGATTCTCCACGTGAGGCCCGGGTCCTACACGAGGACAGAGGTCTGTTATCAACGAGGAATGGGAAATAGCTGTTGGATATTCAACAAGAGCGTCTACTTCAATTATATTTTTTATGGATATGGTTTTCCTTATAACCATCTGAGAATGGAGAGTGTCAACTCTGTTCTATAGCTCTAGAATCCACTTAACGGTTTTGAAGTTATAATCTGAAATAATTTCACTAGTGGCTTTTCTACAAATTGAACTGATTGAAGATAAGTTCATCTTTAATATAACTGCCGTGAGCTAAGCTATTACTTGTCCAGGGAAGCTTGCAGAGATGGGCAAAAGGAAAGCATGAACTGGTCAGGAAATTGAGTATTGAAGAAAAATTTGAAAGGTAATGACAAATACCTCTGCTTGTCTCTGGTCTTATGACAATAACCACAAGCACAAACCGGAACACCACATGCAGAGGAAATGATAGGAGGTTAAAGAA